TCTGCCTCCATGGCCAGTCTAGTTCACCGGCTCTATTTAGTCACTATCCACACATCTGACTATGGCAGACATCCGAGTTATGTGTCAGTCGGCCATTTCTAAACAACTGGGATCCCTCAATGCATGAGACGCTACTGGCCATTCCTCGAGACGTCATGGTCATGACTGTGTTTGACAGATGACAAGACAGAGTAAACAGAGCGGTTGCTTAGGAGTCCTCAGAAAAAGCTCTGTGTGTGTTGGGAAACCGCTGGTGGTTGTAGTCTGGATCATCACGCAGTCGTTTCTTTATATCACTCTTCACCTGGAACACAATGAAGAATGAAAAAGTTTTCAAAATGTTCAATGCAATTCAGAGATCAAGATCTGCATGAATCTGCATGGTCTGCAATCTTATGGGATCTGATAGATTTCTTGCCAGACTCAATTTTTAGCTTTAAAAATGTGGAGTAATAATGTGGAAATGGGACCTTAATTGAGTTTGTATATATTACAATTCTATGGGAAAAATGTTGAAACTCTCAGGAGCTGGATGGGAAACTTTGTCCTAAAACTAAAATTATTAACAATTATTTTCTTTAACTGAAATGAAGCTGAAATAAAATAAAATATAAATATTAGATGGAAAAAAAAGAAACTGAAATAAGTTAGTTGCCAAGTTCTAAAATTACTAAAAAATAATTATTAAAAAAATTATAAAAATGACAAAAGCACATTAAACTAAAATTTAAATAACTTAAAATATGAATATGCAAGATAATTCAAAATATTAATACATATTATAATAGTGCATAAATAATAGTAAAATAACCAGGGTTTCTGCAGAATTTATGTAGGAAAATTAAAGATTTTTTTAAAGGCCTTTTAAGATCAAGTAAATACAATTTAAGAAATAAATTCAAGGGAATACATTATGTCAATATGTTCTTTAAATGTAAATATCTAGGGAGAATACAATGAGTTGTTGAGTTATCAATACTTCAAAGGCAATTGCCATTTCATTTGAATTGATTTTACAAAAAATGCTCAACTGGAAATACCTTTTACTGTACTTTCAGATCACACTGCAAAAAGCAGTTCTTCTCAGATTTTTTCTTGATTTATACTGCAACTCTTTTATCATTAAAACAAAAACAAATATCTGCCAATGGGCTTAGTAAAATTAACTTCATTAAACGGCTAAACAAGTTTCCCTGCCCTATTAACAGATTTTTTTTTTTAAGCATAAATTCACATTTTGTTCAATTCTCAGAAAACAAGAGTTCACATCTTTATCTTGATTTAAGGACATTTTAATATTTGTACACGAAAACCAGATAAAAATACTGAGGAAGATATCAATTTTTTTGCAGTGCATGCAACATTTAATGCCATGACTTTATCAAAATATATTCTGCTCTGATTTAAGACATTTTAAGGCCTTTATTTGTGGAAGGGCAAATAAGCACTTTTTAAGACCTTTTAAAACACGCAGAAACCCTGAATAACACTGGTCTGTGCAGGTGTCTCAGGATAGATTAGGTGTGAGATTTTAGTTTCTTACCTGTTGTGTATAAGCTTCCTGCAGCTCTGGTGCCTCCAGCTCCCCCTGTAGGCTGTCTGGGGCAGTAACAGGTCGCACCCCTGCTGTCCTGGCAGCTCGACTCACGGCCTCAGCGAGAGAGAGGTGAGGACCCTCTCCCTGTGCGGTCTGTGAAGGGAGGAAAGCAGTTTAATTGAATTGTTCATTTTGCATTGGTGATCTATGGTAGCCTTTTAGATTTGAATGAATGTAGCTGGCGTACAGACCTTCCTCCTCTTGGCCGGCATCCCATGCAGATAAGCATCAGACAGAGGCGGCTGTGATTTCATCTTCCTCTGGGTCAACATGTCATGTCTTATGATGGGTACCCACTCCTGATTAACATATTGAAACACTCATTATTACTATATAGTATATCAGTTGTTGGTTTATGTGTGCTGTTAACTTTGAGGTCATTTATATGTCAATGTACTACAAAAAGGTGACAAAATAAATGTTTAGCAGACACACTAAATCAACAGACAATGGAGTCTCACAGGTGGAACAGTTGCTGCCCATGGCTCCACCTCTCCAGCTGACTCCTCCCTGTCTGCAGTTGCCATGGCTACTGCTCCTCGTGTCTCCTCTAACAATGGCCTGCCAGGTGGTTCATCGGCGTCAGCAGTGTCTCCTGAGGATGCCATGACTTCCTCTGCAGTGGTGGCAGGAGCAGGAGACAGACCCTCTTCCATCTGTAATATATAATCAGATATTACTATCATAACATACGGTTTCAAGCGCAGACAAACATCCAGATTTGTTCAAGGCCTAAGGGACAGGCAATACACAAACGAAAGTTGCTTATGATCAGTGTTATTGTTGACCACACAATAAAAAGTTTTTTTTTTTACTTTTACTTTTTAACAGCAATTAACTGAAATAAGTTTAAATTGAAATACTAAAAATAAAAACCGAAATAAAAATAAAGCTAAATAATAAAATAATGTCAAAAACATTATTACAACTTAAATTACAATGAAAATACTAACATAATACTTAAAAATGCTTTCATTCTATACACCACCATTCAAAAAGTTTAGATTGGTAAGATTTAAAAAAAAATTTTTAAGACTATTCTGCTCACCAAGGCTGCCGATCCAAAATAAAGCAAAAACAGCAATATTGTGGAATATTTTTACAATTTAAAATAACTATTTTCTATTTGAATATATTTTAAAATGCAATTTATTCCTGTGATGGCAATTTTGTCCAGTCTTCAGTGTCACAAGATCCTTCAGAAATCATTATACCGGTAATATTCTGATTTGCTGCTCAAGAAACATTTCTTCTTATTATAATTATCATGTTGAAAACAGTTGTGTGCAATATTTTTCAGGATTCTTTGATAAATAGAAAGTTCAAAAGAACAGCATTTAGCCGAGATAGAAAGCTTTTGTAACATTATAAATGTCTTAACTGTCACTTTTGATCAATTTAAATGTATCCTTGCTGAATTAAAGTATTAATTTCTTTCATTTCTTTCCAAAAATAAATAAATTACTGACCACAAACTTTTGAATGATAGTGTATAACATTACAAAAGCTGTCTATTTCAGATAAATGCTGTTCTTTTGAACTTGTATTCTTTCTTTTTTTTGATACTGAAGACTTGAGTAATGATGCTGAAAATTCAGCTTTGCAAACACCGGAATAAATTGCAACAATGTTTCACAATATCACCGTTTTTGCTGTATACTGGATCAAATAAATGCAGAAGAGATGTCTTTTAAAAACATTTTAAAAATCTTACCAATCTAAAACTTCAGAACAGTAGAGTGTGGACTTTAATATACTTTTATCAGCTCTTTTAGAAATAATAATTTTCTATGTGACAGTAAACTAGACTCATTCTTGTTCGTTTGAAACATACCTCAACACTCATGTTATCTGACTGCTGGCTTGCTTGTGTGTCTGACTCTGTTCTCTGAGACGACTCTCTCTATAAGTGAAAAAGATAACAGAAGCATATTCAGTTCTGTATTCTGTGGTTCAGTTTGGGAGTGAATCCTGATGAGAGGGTGAATACCTGCGTATAGATGACATAATGCTGGATCTGGTCCTCAGTGACTGGATTGTGCTCTAAAATCACATGCAGCCTCATGGACATCATACTGGTCAACCAGTTCACCAGACTGGGGTTCACTTCAGCTGACATTCTCCTCTGAGTAAGGAGTAAAACATGAACGTGTCAAAAGATGCAACACCAAACAACCTTCATAAGAATGAATCAACGAATCTTACAATTCGGTGGTTGATGACGGTGGTTAAAGCTCTTTGCTCTCCTCTTAAGCAATAGAGATTGAGGGCCAAACACTCAAACAGACCCTGGGTGCACAGATACAACAAGCGCTGACCAAATGTGTTATCTGGAAAGACACAAGAAACAGTGTTATTGTTAACAAAAAAATATTACAAAATCGTTTTCATTCATTTAAATAAAGTAGAAATAAAATTAAATATAAATATTAGAAAAAGTACATATGTACATAAACCGAAGTACAAAAATGACTAAAACTAAGAAAATTAAATTAAATCAAAATAGAACAATAAAAAAACAAATAAAAAGAACAAAAGCACATAAATATTAAAATTTAAATGAAATGTGAAAATCTAAAAACAAAAGCTAATTAAAAATATTAATAAATACTACAATCGTCTATAAAATAAGAAAAAACTAAAATAACACTGATGAAGTCCACAGAAAATGGATCAAATTTTTTTCTTCTGAAATGTTACAGATTGCCAAGTCGATTTCCATTTGCACTTTGTAATTTGAATACTGGGGTCTGTGATTGTGTTGATAGTATGGTGGTCACCTGTACAGCGCAGAATGTGAATAGCCATGCGAGTGAACTGTTGTCTCAGGAAGGACAAGTTGGTTTGGATGATGTCCACTCCCTCTCGAACAGTCACAGTGGACTGAAACGGATACAGCACAGAGACTATCAGTTAGGGTGTCTGATGAACAAATGTTTCAGGATAAATCAGGTACAAACAAGACTTACAAAACTCTCTGAAATGTACTCCTCTAGTCCATTGATCAGATCCTCAGCAGCACTCTAAGTACAAGAAACAATCCCATCAGTCTTTACAACATGCACTCAATAGAAAAGTGTTATTTTGTAAGACCAGTATTATTTTCATGGTTCTTTTGAAGTGTCCATTTCAATGAATCAGTAAATCAAAACACTGAATAAACAATATGTTTGCATCATGACTCAAAAATGTTCAAAGAAGTCCCTGTTAGAGGTGTGTGATATTGTCAAGGATAATATCATAATTGTTGTTTTAACGAAGTGCGGGCTAACATTATTGAGTATGTCACTCGAGTATGTACTCATCTGATGTATGTCATGTATGAAAGCAGTGTGAGCTCAGACTCACAGCTATGTTGGCATCGGTGGGCTCTCGGCCTTGCAGATAATGCTCAGTGAAGAAGGCTGTGAGCTGGGGATGGATGCGGCTCAGAGGCTGAGGATTACCATGCAGCAGCAGAACCATGTCCACCATGGAGAAACTCTGACACACCAGAGACAGCAGATCTCCAAAGAACCCTGCCAAACAAACAGAGTGAGTCAGTACTAGTACATCAAATGCAACTCTTGAGTTTTGCCAAATGATCACAGAAACTGACCCACTGCATCTCCAGCTCCAGGCGTGAAGAGGTTACTGGTCTGGGAAAGTCTTTGAATAAACTGGGCGATGCTCTCAGTGTTGCCTTGACCAGCACCCAGAGAGCCCATCATGGTGGACAGGACGCCCTGCACGATGCCTGTAAAAAGCTCCGGGCTTAGGGTCTCTCCACCTCCATTGGGAGGCGGAGGGGTGGTAGTGTGGGTGGCTCCTGAAGGGGCAGAGGGTGTGGCTTGAGAGGATGGAGGCTGCTGGTTTGGTGGAGGAAACACAGGCTGGCCGGACTGAAAAGAATACCGGACGTTCAAATGAACACATTTGGTAAGATCAGAATACAAAAACCCATTTGCTGAGAAAGGCACCAACCTGAATGAACCCGGAGAGGCCCTGAATGAATGCAGGGACACCTGGAACAGTCACTGTAATGGATGGAGGACCTCCAGACAGCCCTCCACCAGCTCCCGCAACTCCTCCCAAAAGTGAGCCCAGCAGCTGAGCTAGGTTATCTCCTGGGCCGCCCTCCTGGGACTGACCCACGGATGCCGTACTAGTGGTGTGGGTGGATGTCTGACCGGATGTGTTGGCAAAGGATGGAGGAGCAGTGGAGGAGGAGATGGAGGAGGAAGGGGTAGATGTGGAGGTAGAGAAAGAGAAGGAGTGGGAAGATGAGGTAGTGGATGTCTGATCTCCTGATGACAGAAAACATAATACGTTTAAGAAGCTGTGCGATGCTAGATCTTTCACAGGAACTGAACAGGTAAGGACCACTTACCTGTGTGCAATGGCATCAAAAGCTGCCCTACCAAACCACTGACCATCTGTGTGAGAGGGGAGGACGTCATAGGGTTGCCCTTGATTGAAGAACACAAATGGAACTATGAGTTTTATGCAAGGACATTAGATATGGCAAGTCAGTGCATTCATATTACTTTGAATGAAAGAATTAATTTGCGTCACCCAAGCCTGAAATATAAGTTTTTTTTACTTATACTTGAGCAGAAGAAACAACATTTTTGTTGCTGATTTTAAATATGCAATTTAAATGTGAGTGTGGCAAGCAGTTTTTTAAATTTCAGGATTTTCCCATTCAAGAAGATAGAACTTGGATGCTTGAAATAGCTGACCCCAAGTGTTGCAAATATGGCCACCGAGTGAACAGACATTATTTGAAAGGTACTTTGGTTTTATGTCTCTCCAAAACACAATAATGTATCAAAGGTTCATACTTGATTAGTCTGTTGTCCTGCTGAGGGGGGCACTGTTGCCCGCAGGTTGATGGTGGTCCCTCTGGTGCTCATGGGTTGGGGGATGCGTGGAGATAAGGAGGGCCGTGTGATGACCACCCTGGCCTGAGGTGGTGGAGAGGCTGGGCTGTCTGCACTCTGGGCACCTGAGCCAGCAGTGCCCTGCTGCTGCCCCTGGTGTCCGGCAGAGGCTGCAGTTGCCATGGCGACAGCCTGCTGGGAGATCTGATGCATGATGGCCTGCATGAACTCGGGTGGCAGTCCTGGTACATGGATGGGTGTCGTGGTGCCTTCAGAGAACAGACGCACAGAATTCAGTGAAAAGTGACTATTAACACTGCTGGCAAGTGAAACTGTTGCAAGGTCTAAACTTCACACACAAGACTACAGACAACTGACAAACAACAGCTGCGTTACATCCCAATGCAAAAATAGCACTTTAACACCACTCAAAATAACAATTCTGTTATCATTTACTCACACTCATGTTGTTTCAAACCTGTATGAAATACCGGTACCTGTATGACTCGTGTTGTTTTCCTCCACCGAACACTAAAGTAAGAATTTTGAAGAACGTCCAGAGCAGTGTTCATATTAATTAAAACTATTAAAAAACGTTTTTGTTAATTAAAATAAATTTGAATTTGAAGTATTAAAATAATCAATAACTAAAATAAAAACTAAATAGAAATATAAAAAAAATAATAAAATTAACAAAACCACATAACACAATTACTAAATCTTTAAAATGAAACTTGAAAATATAAAAATAAATGCTAATAAAAAAAAAAGAAAAAAATACTACAATAGTACATAAATAATACTAAAATAACACTTGTCCATGGTGCTTTATTTAGTTGTGTATGGTTTGATGTAAGTGACGAAACATGACAACCAATGACTAGTTGTAGACCGATATTTTGGCTGATACCCAGAATTTTTGTAATTATTGCATCATGTGATAAGTTTTTTTCTGTTTGGCCGATAAGTATCATAAGTAGGACTAAGAACCCCATAACGCTAAGAGCCCCGGTGATGGAGTACACTGTAGATACACAGGAGCTCCCATTCTCCATCTTCATTAGTTTATGGTCTTTGTTTAGCAGTTATGTTTAATGATAGAAAAGCAAACACTCTTGATAGCATTTAAATAATTCTTTGAATATCTAATAAACATTTAATTCCACAAACCTCACTAACTTTAAACATAAAACTATTGTTGTCAATACAATAATGATTTCGGTTAGTCTTCAAAATAAAAAATAAACAATGCCAAATATGTATTTACATTTTTTTTTTTTTATTATCCATGGGCAACCCATGTTTAAAGACTACAACGTATATGGTGAATCTTATTATTATCATTATTATTTTTATATCTGGATCTCTTCAGCCCCGGTCACCATTTAATTTATTGCATGGAGAACAAGCACTGTGGAAATTATGCAAATATTTCTTGTTTTGTGTTCTGTGGAAGACAGTGAGTCAAATTGGTTTTGAATGACATGAGGGTGTGTGAATGAATTTTTTTTTTGAGTGAACTTTTTTCTTTAAGACACTATCACATGTTAATGTTGGCACGGCTGGTTACTGACTATAAAGAGAGATGGAAACTAACCAGTCTCTCCAGCAGCGCTGGGATTCTGTTGCCTTTGGCCCTGCACTCCACTGTCTGAATCTGCTGCACAGAAATGCACAGATCAGTGGTTGGCAGTTACACTACAGCTGCCCATTCCAGGTCTGAAAAAAGGCATTTTCTGAAAGGAACTATTTTAAATAGTAAAAATCACTTCATGATGAAGAAAAGTGTCTGGGATCTTCAGAAGTGTAGCAGACCAGGAATGGGCAGCATGGCTGAAATACAGTGCTAAGAACACTGGGGTCTAACTGGATGGGTGGGTGGCATACCATCCAGGTTCATCTGCATCATGACCACTGGCTCCATGGTCTGGTGAGTGATTCTGATCACTCTTGGAGTCCCCTGACCATGACCCGTTTGTTGACTGGCTCCATTCGGTGGAGGAGGAGGTGCCTGACCCTGAGGCTCTGATTGGTTGCTTGGCTGTGAAGGTTGGGCCTGACCCTCGCTTGTCTGTCTGCTGTTTGCAGTCATGGTCACAGTAGAGCCCAGGTTCATCTGGAAGATGTCATACATTGTGAGGTTGACTGCTTGAACAGTATGAAAACTGTTTTGTTCATATAGTTGGTTAGCTCACCGGAATGGGAATATGGGGTGGTCCACTCTGCAGCACAACAGGGGAAGTGTAGTGAGACATGGGCCGCACCACATGTAAGTGGCGGGGTGGCTGAGCTGATAAATTGCATCGGAGGTCACTCAGAGCCACCAATGTGTTACCTAGGAGATGGAGTGACTCGCCAATCAAATTGAGAGTGCGCTGATCCTCCTCACGTTCTTGAGTCTGTCCGAGAAACCAATTTTCAGAAAATGAATATTGCCATATTTATAGCACATATGACAATAGGTACGTTTACATGTTTTGCTTCCATCGGAATTAATTCATTCTGATTAACGAATCCGAATGTAGTGTTTACATGAATACTAAATAAAGTGATCGGGCCCGATATGTGTTTATATGTCACAAGCTTCTGATCGTATTTAATTTTTTGACATGCGCACACTGCATGAATATACAGAGTTTCCCGCTGTTGTCGCATACTGTTTTAAAAAGCACACTTGATATTTATCTACTTCGGGTCTTAATTAGGCGACGACCAGCACATGAACTGTTGTGCTGTGCTGCTTACTTCATATGACAATAGGTACGTTTACATGGACACGTTTTGCTTCCATCGAAAATTAATTCATTCTGATTAACGAATCTGAATGTAGTGTTTACATGAATACTAAATAAAGTGATCAGGCCCGATATGTGTTTATATGTCACAAGCTTCTGATCGGATTTAATCTTTTGACATGCGCACACTGCATGAATATACAGTTTCCCACTGTTGTCGCATACTGTTTTAAAAAGCACACTTGATATTTATCTACTTCGGGTCTTAATTAGGCGACGACCAGCACATGAACTGTTGTGCTGTGCTGCTTACTTTATAGAGCAGTAAAAGTGCCCCTGCCCGCACACAAAACCAGTCATCTGTGGATGATAGTCTTAAACAAGGACTGGTGGGACGCTGTGCTGCTCCACTTCACAGACGCTGAGTGAAAGGGGAGATTTATAATGATGGGACACTCATTTATGAAACTTTATTCACCAGGAAGAACAGATCATTCCGCGCGTCATACGCCATTATGCTATTTTTACATCACTGCACATGCACAGTACTTTCCAGTTTCAGTTTTCAATTCGATCAAGTGTTTACATGTCCTCTCGCTTGGATTACAAAATGAATAAACCACCCCTTACAATCCGATCGAAATCTGAATCAGATCTGGCCAATTCAAGCCGATTGACTTGGTTACATGTGACTTTTTTTATTCTGATTGTGCTTCTAGTCCTATTACGATCGGATTAGTAGGGCCCATGTAAACGCAGCTAATGATGTAGCATTAAACTATCTAGGGCATACATTGTTGTTGTAGTCAGCAGAACTGGCCGCTCCAAGGATGGAATGTGTTCTCTCCATGAATGGACGGAGGCGCTCCTCCACCCTTCGCACCTCTGACAGAACCTCCACCAACTCTAAAGGGCTGGGGTGACTGTTGAGACACAGAAATAAGTTACACTAGTCTTGTACATGTGAAAATATAATGGGCTGATGACATGATGATACACCACTGTTCAACGTTCGGGGACTGAGATTTTTTTCACTTTTATTCAGCAAGTACACAACTGATCAAAAGTGAAAGTAAAGACATTTATAATGTTACAAGAGTTTTCGGTTTCAAATACAGGGCATCTGCAGGATTTTTAAGCTCAAATGTAAGACTTTTTGAGACCTTTTTTAAGACCTGCACAAATAAAATTAATACCATATGACCAGGGTAGGGCAATGTCTATGGCAACATATTAAACTGTAAAAAGCATGATTTACAGTTCAGATTTTCACAACAACAAAAAGTTTCAGAAAATGATAAACTTCACATTTCAGCCTTTAAACCATTTTTAAGAAAACGGATGAGTCAAATGTATCAATTATTATGTTAATTTAAACAATTATTATTTTAATTAAACAACAAATATATTTTACGGTCTAAATTGTGTAGATTTTAATAATGCATTATCTTCTTGTGGATCCGCCAGTTCACATTTACAACTCTGCGTGTTTGCAGCATAAAAACATGGGTTAGTTTTCACATTGGCAGAAGGGCTGATTGAAAATGCACATTCATTCTCTGCCAGCAGGTGGCACTTTTGGAAAGGCAGAAATACAGCTGCATAAAAATATAGCAGAACTGTTTTCAACATTGTTTAACGCAAATTAGAATAATTTCTCAGGGATCATGTGACACTGAAGACTGGAGTAATGATTCTGATAATTCAGCTTTGCCATCACAGGAATAAATTACATTTTAAAATAAAATTATATCACAACATTAGTTTTTACTTTATTTTTGAATAAATAAATACAGCCTTGTTGAGCATAAGACTGCATTCGAAAATATAAAAACCGACCCCAAACTTTTGAATGGTAGTGTTCTATTCTTTAACATTGGATACACAATTTTTTCGCATGATCCTAATATTCTTCTCTTACTTGGGTCCAGAGTGAGTTGCTCCTTCTGTCTGTGAAGCAGAGGATGAGGAGGAGGGTGGAGGTGGGGAGCTGTCCATTGGTTGTGCTGAGAATGATGATGATGATAGTGGCTGAGGAGGTGGTGTCTCCTGCTGAGATGACGGTTCACTTGATTGACCCTGAAACAAAAAAATAAAGTTACTGTATATCTGAAAATAAGCATCAGGCTGAATGATTTTTATATGCAATTAAGAAATCCAATAAGATTGTTTCATTTGTTGGATGTAAATATTTGTTCTGCACCTCGAGTCTGAGAATTAAAGCCTGTGTCTCTCGCAGCAGGCTTTCAGCCAGCTGGAGCCTCATCCTGGGCTCGCTCTGCACTGATTGGTCCACGGAAGAGCCAGGACATTTTTTAATATAACTCAGATCGGATTCATCTGAAAGAAGAAAGTCATATACACCTAGGATGGCTTGAGGGTGTGTAAATCATGGGGTAATTTTCATTTTTGGATGAAATATCCCTTTAAACCAATGCAAGGAAATGTCAAAAAATATAAAAATAAAAAAGAAGAACTAACCAGCCAATATCTAGATTACAACTCAATTAATTGTGCAACCTTACTTTGTCCGATTTTGCCAATGAAAATATTTACAAACATTCATTCTTGAATGAATCAGCATTTTTGAAGAAATCAATGACTCATTTAGACATTTTGAATTAAGACCCACAAACGCAGAGTAGCATGTTGTTCCGAATTCAGCAACTGTCACTCGTTCACACAAACAGTGAACAGTCCCAGTGCGAAAAACAGACACCAAGCAGTCACTCACTGTATTCTGTGAGTGTCCTCTCATCCTGCAGCACTTTACCCTGGTAGATCAACCTCTGCTTATCCACCGGGATTTCAACAGAAGAAGCGATGTGCTCTTTAAACTGCTTCACTGTCCACTGAGAGGAAGCAAGAGAGGTGACAATCAGATTATACACGTAATTGGTTTATCGATTTAAAGAGTAGCGTATTTAACAGCGTTTCAATATAGAGGTCTGGGTTGTACTTTGTTAAATGAGCTATTTGTGTTACATACAAAATAGTCATAGCGCAAAAGAATTCCTCGCATAATGTTTGCGTCTATGACTGATAATATCACAGAGCACACAGACACACACCTCTCCCCTGACAGTGAACGTCCTGCTCTGGGAATCCAGAGTTTTCACGGTCACCTCTATAGCTCCTGGTTCCTCCATGACCTTTCCTGTGGTTCAAAATGTCTTTAAAAAGTCGAGAGGATGAAGAACGCGTCCAAAAATGATCACATGGACTAATGTCACCAATTCAATGCTACGAAGCACATCATTTACACTGCTAGCGATAAAATCAGAACCCATTATAATAAAAGCAGCAGACTAACGTTACCATAGAAACATCATAAACTCGCAGTGCGGCTTCAGTAATTATAACAAGAGCGACTCGTTTTGTCTCCATAGTAACGTTGGGCGCTGCTAGCACTGTAAATGCTAGCGGTAAGTTACAGATAAGGTGAAAATAACGGACATCGTAACACCCATATAATAAACACAAGCCATAATGTCGTACTTAACTGTAATACCGTGTATAAGCAGAATAGCGACACCTATTTTTAAAAACACACATATTTACCAGTGGTCATACATTACTGCTATTGTTCAAGACCATTATTATACTAGGTAACGTTACCAGGCTAACAACAGTCAAAGCGATTCGGTTGTTAATTCTAGGATACACTAACGTTACATATGAATAGCAGCAGAGCATAGCTGGGTGAGGAACGCAAAGGATTAAACACCTTACTTTTAAGGGATAACCGTGGCAGCTCGGCGATTTAGTTTTTAATTCTAATAATTGTCTCCTACACAACACCCTACGGACATGCTAGCTAAGCAGCTAGCTAATCCCAAACAAACGGTGCTTTGTCAGGAAGTGACGTCATGTACTCCAACTACGCTGCGATTTCGTCTTCTTCTTCTTCTTCTTCTTCTTCTGGAGTTTTATGGCGGTTTGGCAAACCAGCGAAAAAGGTGCATTACCGCCACCTACTGTTCTGGAGTGTGGAGTGTGCATACATTTGGAAGAAAGAAATACAGAAGGGAAAAGAAAGAAGAAAAAAAAAAAAAACCTAGATTCTATCTATTGTTCCTGTGTTTTTCAGGTATTTAAACAAATTTTCTTGCACTCTTGATTGCCTCGACCCATTTCCTAACAATGCTTTTAAAGAAATATTATCAACTCCCAGCCACCCTAATTCTTGAATTAATTGAAATCTCTCCCTTTCGTATGCAGAACACTCAAAAAGAATATGTTTCACTGTTTCTAATTCTCCACATTTGTCACACTTTCCCGATTCATGCTTACCTATTTTATAAAGACTATAGTTTAATGCTGTATGTCCGATTCTTAGTCTTGATAAGATGACATCTTTCTTCCTATTTCCGTATCTTTTCCTCTCATTTCCAACACACTCCTGAATCTGGAAAAGATGTCTTCCTTTAGACCCATTATTCCATAACTTTTGCCATTTCTTACTTACTTCAAATGATATCACTCTCTTGAATTCAGCTTTACTTAAAGCTAACTTAATTTCTGTTTGTGTATGATTTCGGTGCGATTTCAAAATACTTGCTGTCTCATTTAGAAGGCTGCGCCGCCTTCTAAATGAGACACAGCAAAAGCTGCATTCATAGTTGGTTTCCCAAAACATTGTGGCGTCAAATCTAAATCCAGAAATGTATTTGATTTGTGTGTTCGTTTATTATACAATCCGTTTTGTTGCCTATTTTTATTTTAAATGTATTGATTTAGAAATTATATTGTAGTCTATTTATACACGTTGATGAAACTAACAAAATTCATCAGATAAACTACCTACAACTTAATTTTCACAAGACTGTGATGACGCGTTTCAACGGTCATCAGCATCGCAATCCTCCAAAGTTTTTTGTATTTTTTTTTTTAAATGCATGTACATTTCTAACAATGTATTTTGTATTATATTACATTTGCATCAAGTTACAAAAAAAATGTTAACGCTAATGCGAGGGATCTTTCTCTAAAGCGTCAATGGGATTGAAGTAAATTTGACAACATCGTTCTCTCTACTGGCTGCCATTATCAGTCTCTATTTTTTGAAAGTCATGATATGTTGACATCCAAGTCCCCACTCTGTGGTTGGTGCTGGCATGCCTGATTTTAGTATTCGTTCCTGTTTCAGAGGTTTTTCCCGCAACTCAGGTGTCTCGGGGCCTCATGAGGGAGGATCAGGCTGTCGTATGGTTACACCATCCAGCTTCTATGGGTTGATTGGATTTGCGTCACCTAACCTTGTGCTTGGAGTAAGCAATTTCAAGATGCTGAACCGGAGATTGGTTTGTGACCATCGATCTAAGGATGCATACTTCTGCATCCAGATCGTCAAGAGACACAGGAAGGTTTGCTTCTGGAATAAAGCTTGCCAATACTGTATTCTTCCATTGAACTGGCCTCGAACGCAAGGTGAATGGATGCGTCTTTGGCCCTGTTGTGACGGGGTGTCTGAGTTTTGTTACCTTAAGTTACCTTGACGATTAGCTGATATTAGCTCAATCACACAAACTGTTTGGAGCAGCGTTTCTGGCACTCCAACGGTTCTTACCCAATTGAGTGGTTGTCACATTAGGTCAAGGACTGACAACACGGCTGTACACCATCCAGCTTCTATGGGTTGATTGGATTTGCGTCACCTAACCTTGTGCTTGGAGTAAGCAATTTCAAGATGCTGAACCGGAGATTGGTTTGTGACCATCGATCTAAGGATGCATACTTCTGCATCCAGATCGTCAAGAGACACAGGAAGGTTTGCTTCTGGAATAAAGCTTGCCAATACTGTATTCTTCCATTGAACTGGCCTCGAACGCAAGGTGAATGGATGCGTCTTTGGCCCTGTTGTGACGGGGTGTCTGAGTTTTGTTACCTTAAGTTACCTTGACGATTAGCTGATATTAGCTCAATCACACAAACTGTTTGGAGTAGCGTTTCTTGTACTTCAACGGTTCTTACCCAATTGAGTGGTTGTCACAGGTCAAGGACTGACAACACGGCTGTGGTCTCATACATGGATTGTCAGAGAGGATTACGCTCTCGCCCCCTGTTCAGGTTGGTGAGACGTGTTCTTCTTTGGACGCACACCAGGTTCCTGTCGATGAGAGCAGTTCATGTCCCGTGTCACCTGAACTCAGGAGTGGACTTAATCTTGAGACAGAGTTTGGAGGCTGGAGAATGGAGACTGCACCCTCAGGTGGTGAGTCTCGTATGGCAGAGGTTTGGCTGAGCGGAAGTAGATTTTTTTGCTTAGAGCATGTGCATTGCCCGCTCTGGTTTCCTTGTCTCCTCCGTTGCCTCTGGGTGTGGACGCTCTAGCCCAAGAATGGCCCAGGACCAGTCTTATGCCTTCCCGTCGACCCGTTTGCTCCCAAACGATTCTGTTCAGTGTAAGGTTGGTCAGAGTGAACGTCTGTTGTTGGTGGTGCAGTTTTGGCCCACTCGTACATGGTTTTCAGAATTGGTCAGTCTGTTAGCCGGCCCCCTTGGGAGGTTCCCCTCAGACACGACCTGCTGACTCAGGTTCGGGGCATGATTTAGACATCCCATCAGGATTTTTGGAACTAATGGGTGTGACCCCTGAATGGAGTTGAAATGTGTTCCGGTCTCTTGGCAGAGATTACCGACACTATTCTTAATTCTAGGGCTCCCTCCACGAGACGCTGTATTCCCTTTAGTGGACACAATCTCCTGGTTTCCCATTTCATGCAGGGACGAGACGGCTTAGGCCTTTCCGCCCAGCACAGATTCCTTTTTGGGACTTATTTTCGGTTGGAAGGCCTGGCAGTCCATCCATTTGAGCCGTTTAAGTCTGCCAGATAACTTTGAAACCTTAAGCAGTTTTTTGGTAATCCTATCCTCTCTTAGAGTACTGAGGAGCTGCAGGCTCTGTCAGCTCCTCTTGTATGGACTTTGCCCCGAGGCTGGTTAAGTCTTACTGCTTCTTAGGCCTAGTTAATCCTAAGGCTGCTTCGACTCCGTTTCGCTTTCAGCAAGTGGTTGGAGGCTTTCTCCCCTGCTATGCAGGGTCAAATAGTGACTATACCTCTAGCCTATGAGGCGCGTGGTGTGACTTCGCCTCTAGAGGTGCGTGCTCATTCTACGAGAGCAATGGCTTCTTCTCAGGCTCTTTTTAAAGGGCCTTTGATGGGAGATGTCTGTGCTGTGGCAGGTTCGTCCTCTCCTAGCACTTTCATCAAGTTCTACTTGTCTGGACGTGAGGATGGCTCTTGGCTCCCGGGTCTCTTCCGCTTGAGCAGACTCTTTCCTCGGTCTTCCAGCTA